CACACGTTTATGACCTTTCAAGCGCTGTTTAAAGACCATTAACAACTAACTAAGCCCCATCTATGAACTGCAATGTACAAAAAGCCTTAAAAATCCTGCATATAGCTACTGTTAACCATTTCGTACGTGCATTTTAGACGATTCTTTACCAACGCTTGTATTTACCCAATAACTCCTTACAAACCCCAACAATGAATGTAAGAACAAAAACATTGAAATGTATGTACACTGTATATTTTTTACACTGGTTTTTCTCTTCACCTACGGCATGCATCAAAATCATTAAATATTCTGCATGTACGTGCATTTTGACGATTCTTTCACACCTCTCTTTAAAGCCTTATCATAACTAACAAAACCCTAACAATCATAATGTATGTAAATGAGTGAAAGATGTTGTGTTGTGTATATAAATACACATCGATCTAGTAGAATAAATCTGTTCAATTTGACGCAGATGTCACGTTACTAATCCTTATATCATATTCATTCGATCATAGACATGATTATTTATTCCATTCGAAAACTAGAGTCACAGATAAGACATAATGGGGGGTATACTTGGTGGTGAGATGTACCCAGAGCAACCATTAAGTTCCATATTTCGACTTAGAGGCCATTGAAAATTCAGCATTAATGCTTTAGAAATGTTGGTAAATAAACCCCGACAAAAAGCCAGAATGTCATTTTTTAACTCTTTTTGCATTTTAAATTTATTACAAGGTCATTTTAAAAGCAATCCACCCTAATTCACAACAGAAGCGACGTCGTATCCCAAAATGTGGCATTTTATCTGCTAAATTGAATGAAATGAATTCCTGTTTCACATTTTCTTCCAAATAACAGGGTTTTTTTTCGGGTGCAGAATTCACAATAAAAATTTCGCCAGATTATTAAAGATTTCAAAAAGTTTCGACGAATTATATTCTATAAGAATCAATGCCTTTTTAAAAATATCTTTAGAATATTGGTGTAAAACCAGAGATCAATTCAATACGCTGTACTCTTTTACTACACTTAGGTAAGATTTTCTTTTAAAATTCTGAAAAGGTTTAACCCAATGAGCACTATTGTGACCTTTATTATTTGCTATATCTGCCAACGATATTGCAGTATTGGGTTTTCGTAAAAAACTTTAAAATCTATAGCCATAATATTATATGCGAATAGAAAATTCAGCAAGGAAAAAGCAAGGAGCCCTTTTGCGACCCTTACCATTAACTACGTCTTTTAACGATATTGCAATATTGGACGTTGTTTAAGGTAATGGATAACCTTTGGATCTGTACCTCGTGGCGTAACAAGACTTAATTTGTTTATGTTTCCTCAAATTGGAACAGGATGTTCGTCTTTTCAACGCCACAAAATAAGTGAACAAACTATTAAATTGTGTTTTTTCAGAGATTCAAAATGGCAGCGTTTATGAAAGTATTAATGACGATGTGTTTCGTATGTGCTCTTACATATGGTAAGCTTTTTCCTAGTCTAATTTTTGACGTTACTATAACAAATGCCATTCGAGCCAAGTTTTTTTAAAATTCAAATGGTCTCTTGCTTGTCTGAACGTCGTACTCACTCTCTCAGAGAGACTGAGTTTGCATATAAGCATCTCTTTTAGGGAGTTCACATAGCTAATGTTGTGTGTGTGGTATATAAATTGCAGGAGATGAAGGTGAGTGGACAGAATTCATAAAGGACACACATGACCACCCCGATCACAGAGACGGCATCATCTCAACTCCAACAGAATTCGCCAGTTTGAGAAAACTCTTTTTAAATGAGGGCATACAGATTGGTGTCATCAACGCCGCCATTACAAATATGGATGACAACAGAGATGGTCAGATTGATGGAGAAGGTCAGAGTCGTTTGTATTTTGTTCTTTCCTAAATCAAATCATCATGGAGTTGGAACACCTGCTGTGGCTCTGAGACTGTGTATGTCAACTCGGAATACATTCGGAGGAGTCTGCAAATGTTTTAAGCAACCACGCAAGACCATAACATTGAAAATGAAAACTTTAATGTCACAAGGTAACAAAAGGTCTTGTTTTCTATGGGATGGGGCGTTCGAATCCCAAAAAACTCATTACCTTATGTCTTTTCCATTACAGAATATGCAGAGATGAGACTGGAATTGCTCCCTATCTCTAAAATTGCATGAACAGAAACAACACATAAAGAAGACAATGGAAATCTAGTACATTTCAATAGATAAAAGCATGGAATTATATCAAAGTTTTATTAATATTGTCCCATTCACAATTGTCAAATGAAAGACGTCGCCCCTTTAAAGCTTTAAATAACATAAAAGGGGAAATTAAAAGACATTAAGCCTGCGCATTGACTTAACAAACTGGCAGATCAAAATAAATGACTTGTTGATAGAGACTAGGATTATACTTATTGTTATAACATAATCCCATTAACAATGGAGATAATCCTCACTGGATAATCGGATCAAAATAAGGACTACCGTTAACAATTTCGCAGAATATGCCGACTGGATAATATACAGTGTAGATCAAATCAAGAATATCAAATCCGCATTATCGTTATCCAAAGATATTTGCATGATATATCGTTTAAACGAAAATGTATAACGAATGAATGCTTCGGGTTGGCGAAGATGAGTTTGTCGTAAATGACCATTTAACTACAATAGAAAAGGGATATTAAACATCTTCCCAAACCATAGGGGAATATCAGACGCTCAAATAAAATAGAGTGGAGATTTACGTCCAACTTTTCAGCACATTGTATTACATAGTAAACAGATGTTAATATTTCGGTACAAATTTTGTTTTTCAAGGGAGGTAACTCCTGGTAGGAAAAAATAGTAAATAAAGAAAAATCAAGTTGTTAAGAATTGTTTAATCTTCTGTTACAAATCAGATTACAAAGAAATGGAATTTAGTACATTGTCCTTCGTTTCCTGATCATACTCATGAAGATGACCATTGCCTTGCATGTACAAAGAGACCTTTTCTAGAGCAGCGTCATTTCTACGGCTACTTGTCGACGGAACTTTAACGTGTACAGCCTGGACCTCGATTTATATAATAACATAATAAAATGTATAAACCCTTTCACTTAATTCCTATTTAAGATTATCCGTTAATCCACTAATCTGTTAATCCCTTGCTTTACGGAGATGTCAAATATGACAATAGTTATGGGCCTTTAACCACCTTTTGTACTACATTGTATATCCATATTTTTATTCATTTTTAAAGAGTAGGACATAATCACAAAATGGCCTTCTATGGTCGCCTTGACAACCAAGACGCCACATTCGACACTTTAGATATGGCCGATTTGAATTAATAGTTTTGAAGTAGACATAACAACATCAAGATAGAATTAATAATCGTTGACTGAGAATTATTTTTGGATAATTATGGCTGATAAAGAGGTAAGATATTTCTGTCTTTAGAAATCTGTAAGAACTCTCGACATAGGACGTAAAACACCATTTTAAATCAGTAACTTCTCAATTAGATTAACAGAATGATAACTTAGTGAAAATAACATAGGTTCTTTATTGAAATGACTTCTAAATATTATGAAATTAAGATAAAAAATGCTCCTAACCGGACTAATGACGACGGACAATGCCTAACAGTGTAGAGTGGTTATCGACACTGACCTACTCTTTACCGCAATTGATAGTAAATATAAGGAAATTGCTAGAAAACTGTGTATATGTATTAAAAATACTTCATACTTCATAACGACACCCCCCCCCCCCCCCCTTACCTGCGATTTTAACAAAATTAAAACTGTGACACGTACACAATGTATTAGACAAATTCGTATTATCATGAATGCAAGATAACACACGACTTAATAACTACTGTACTCAATAACTCTTCACCTTGGTTTCGAACCCTGGTGCACCAAACACTATCATCTTCAATTACCCCCATCTTATGAGACGTAAAATTCAACCAAAGGGAGCCATTGACAGATTACACACTCAATAAAAGAACTTTAAAATACACGAAATAAGAAGAGTTCAACTTTTATTGCTCAGATCTACTGTTTGTGTCAATCGAAGTGTTCAATAAACACTCCAATTACACTTGAGTATAATACTGTCAAGAGTTATGGCCCTTGTCTTTCACATAATATACATTTTTATACAAATATTTGTTCAAAATCCACATAATATATGGTCGAAGTTCAGTAGGGGCCTATAGATAATTTACTTTAAGCTCATCTCGTGCTGTCGACGTGTGTTTCGGATACAAGATGTTCATCAGGAAGCTAGTTTTGGATTAAATTGTGTATCTGATAAAGAGGTTTTTATGAGATAAAGTCACTTTATAGCTAAGTCCAGGCAAGTTCAAACTTCATAATGTATAATATTTCAATTATATTTTTTTGTAAGACGATCGAGTTAATCTTGAAAACTAATAAGTCACAAACAGTCAGTTGATTACTAGACCAAGTAAACTGAGTACAATGTTGAATGTTTACACAAGTAAAATGTTGATAATTTCATAAGTAAATCACCGTCACTTTACAAAAGTACAACGTTCACAATATTATTTTTTTTTAAACCTAACCGTCAGTTGTTAATTCAAGTATAAGTTGACAATGAGCGAAGTTCAAGTTTACAAAGTTAAAGTATACAATGTACAAAGTAAAAGTTGACAAGTTAAAGTTTACAATGCACTAAGTATAAAAGTTGACAATATACTAAGTAAAAGTTTACAATGCATTAAGTAAAAGGTTGACAGTTTTTCCCAAGTAATTGGTTGACAAGTTAACTAAGTAGAGGGTCAGAATTCAATTAAGTTAAACATTGACAATTTCCTTTTACAAGGCATCACTGGCAGAAGGAACCGGAATTACAAATCTGAAGGAACTATAACAAAATCAACCAAGCAAACATAGATAATTGAGTAATTGAACAAAGAGAGACATAATGGGTATTATAAAATAAATAAAATACAAGTTCAATATCCCAGTAATATAATCGCCATGTCGGCCACAATGTCAACAAGACTTATCAATGGCGACCACAATGGTTTATTATATTACTGTTTTATATTATCAATAGAAGGGAGCGAAAGATTAGTGTTCATTGACTTTTAATAACTTATAACAGGCATATGGAAGACTGGTGCATACATTGCCTGGCAGCGTATTCACGAAACGATCTTAGCACTAGAATGGCAAAGGGTCTTCACTACTAACATTGTTTCTAGGACATCCTATCGATAAATACCTAATACAATCCACGGTAGTCAGGCAAATGACCAGATAATACAATAATATTGCTATCTAATTGCGTAAGAGGATCTACCAACAACAACCATCACGACAGGTTACTGATACGACAGGGAGTTCTATCTTTCAAAGGCTAATACTAAAAGACCTCTTCCGTATACCTTTAAACATCAACCTTCACGTAATACATGATAAAGGTGGGAAAGGGATTGACGTCAACTAGTACAGGCGATAGATAGAGAAATGTCAATATATGACATAGATCTTAATGTTCCCTTTATATTGCAATTGATTTTTTTCATTGAAACGTTTATAACTTCAAATAGAATATAGCACAGTGAAGTTTACACAATATTTCTATAGAGTTTTAACTGTAATAAGGAGGGACAGGTTTAATTTACTGTTATATACATACATTTATCACACGTGTCAACGTAAGTCAAAGGTATTGTGTGTTTTTGGCAATGACAATGGAATTAAGCAATTGCTCTTTTTAAAATAAAAAAAAACTGAGTCTGTAAATCCGTTACTTATGAATCTAACCGACACAAAATACATCTCAAAAGCTTTAGGTTCGACCAAAAACTTGAATTTCACATCCAATTCTGGACAGGGGTTCAGGTCAACCTTGCAACAGACAGAATCAGAGAGCCACTCAATTTCCAACGGATGCTGGCAACTGGTGACATCAGAGAGAATGCTAAGAATGCCAGACCACCTTATCCCAACAAACTATGTTAGTGTTGTACGTCAACCCGTTGTCCATAAGACGAGCTCTAGCCACTTCTCAATAAGAAACCGGTCACCAAATCTATCGAGGTGGATCAACATACCACATTTCTTAATTTTAACCTTTCCTTTGTTTCCAGAACCCGAAAGCAGGATCGCCCTCGCCCTCAGAGAGTAACAGTCAAAGTCCCAGACGTCCAACACAGAAACAAGATAGTGCACCAGAGCGTCGAGACGGTAAGGTCCTTCTTCCTTCATGCTTCTAGCTAGAATCATATTCTGCTTTTAGATGACTCTTTAGATCATACTCTGCCTTTTTTTTTTACGTATCGAATCCTGTTATTTATAACGAGTTGACTGAAGCACAAAGGCCAAGCTACTGGCTGCAGAACAGATCCGCAGAAATTGGATCATTAAAGACGTTAAAACTAGGCGGGTAGTACAGGATGTTCTTAATCCTACCAAAACACCAAGTCAGTGTATGGGATATTGGTCGCCTCGTACACGTTAGAAGGACGGTATTGGAAGACCTTCTTGTGATTGCCATGGTTCACTAACTTAGCACTCTAACAGTACTAATTCTTGGTGAAGGGTTCTTCAATTTCAAATAGTTTTCAGTTAGTCTAATACCTAATCAGCTAGACCTGGGGCTAAAGGACCATATGATGAACTAACTGACCACGTGATGGACTAACTAACTCATCGCATGATAGACTAAATCATCACATGATAAGACTATTTAATCACATGATAGGGTAACTAATCACACGATAGACTACCTGATCACATGTAGACTAACTGATCACTTTCTAGGCTAACTAACCATTTCATGGAGTAACTAGCCATTTTATTGACAAATTAAGTGCTTCATATAATTTGGACGACCATATTTCCTAGAAGTATACTCTACATTGATCAGATATCAAAATCTATTCCTTTATTTACACTGTATTGATGTCTTATAAGTAATATCTTAGCGACAAGCCTGGAGTGAAAGGATATTATAGATTAGATTTCTAACAAGCGATAGCTCTTGAAAGATATTTCGTACAGATATAACAATAAAACCGAACTCCTATATAGGCACCGCTAATTATTCTGATATTACATTGCTAATAAGCTACTAATTAGATTCCAATTCCATAATGCCCAGGTTAATTAGCACATCGGGGCCCTCAAAAGCGAAAGGATGGGGTGGTGGGGGACTCTTTGGGAGGTCGTTAGACCTTTGTAACGTTTGAAGATTTGTCCTATAGGGAGTATAGTTGTCTCATTATTAGCTTTACCAGCTATCGTATCACATTTGTAAATGAGATTGTGGCTATTTGTAGGCGAGGAAGACGTCCGGTTATCAATTCAAAAAAGTGGTACGGATAGTTGAAACCCAGAGCTGGCCTCGCCGTGACTATGACAAGCCTATGTGGTCATTAAATTCGGCACAGATTCGACAAGTTCTTACATGACCTTTATCAATCCATCATCCCACTAACCAAGCTATTTAGACCGCCGAGATGATGACGTCAAATTAGCCTTAATTAACCAACGCCTAATTCTTGATTATCCGGTGATAAATGACGATGACAATAACCATTTCTCAGATGCTACTAAATTAGTCTCGGTTGCTAGGCAACATTTTTTTCATTAGAAGCCAATCTGAAGCAATCTAACAAAATTAATATCCTTCTGGGTCCTTTAATGTCATGCATGTAGCCTTGATTATCTAGCCCGTTGACGAGCACAAGTCTGGACGTAATATCAATAATATTATTAAAACGATGTATTCAATATTTTATTCCGGTCTGGAAAACAAAACCTACATAAATGAACCCAATTATGATGTAAGTGATGAGCCAGTGATAATCAAGACTACATGGTATTTTATGTTTGTATTTTTGCACTACTAGCAGTTCTATGCAGTTGGATATAAGTGAGGCTGGGACGCAGGCCTACTTCACGATCGGCACCAGACACGAATTGCATCTTACCCATAAGTGCGTTTTGTGTCCACCTTAATTTTAAAACGGAAGTGACGTTTGTGGTGTAATATTCACAATTTATTATTAAACAATTTGAAAGTGTGGAGAATGTAAGAGTTAAAATTAAAATTCTTAGAAAGGATATTGTAAGGACCTTTGTGACTCAAAATGGAAGCAATAATAGCTAATGGGAGTGCGACTCTTGCCAAGGAGTCAAAACTTCCAGACAATAAAATTTCAGAGGGAATCGTTGACGCCACGCCGGAAGTTAAAATGAGTGACAATGCGGACAGTGTTTCAAACTCAGAAATCACAAAGGATGGTGACCACGGAACGGTAACGAATGACACAAATATTGAAAATTCGAATCAGGACAATGTCGAAAGTTACAAATTAGTGACTACAGAAGGTAAGGCCGTTTCGAATGATGACGTTAAAGTGAACTCAAATGAAGGCACAGACAAAAAGGTGGATGAATTAGATACGGAAACTAACAATTTGGCAAAGAGTCCTAATAATGGCATCGAAATTTTGACTAAAAATGCCGAGGACACAGAAAATGTTGAAGATGCTCCACAAGATAGTGTTGAAAGCGTTCCTCAAAACAACAATGGCAATGATTCAAATAAGGCGAGTGATGAACCTGGGGAACTTCCAGAACCTAAACCTGCCACTTGGGATGATGGTCTAAATGACACGCAAATTGAATCTCCCAATCGCGATACTTCGGATGGTCCTTCTCCAACAGATGCATCACAGAGCCCTTCAGAGCTTGTGCAAGATGATTCAGTACCCAAATCATCATTAGAGCAGACACAAAGTGAATCTGTTATAACTGAGGAAGACCAAGCGTCTACACAAGAGACGAACCATAACTTGGACGAAAGGCAAAGTCCAGAAGGATCGTCAAATGACATTTCAAGACCTCAGTCACCGCGAGATAATCTGGACTCTGCAAAAACCACCGAGGGTGATCTAGTTGTTGAACAAGACCATGACCTAAAGAAAGATGTCGAAGTAGTCCCACAATCTCAAGACCGACTAGCAACGGACGACGACGAATCTAGCGATCCAAAAACGGACACCGCCAAATCCGTTGATGATATCGATGGGCTAAAAGCTAATACTGAGGAAGCAAATGATAACAATAGAAAGAAGTCGACTACGGAGAAAACTTCCAGTTTAAATGATGATGATGGCTTACTGACAACGATTCAGGCGAATGAGGTGAACACATCGTCATCGCCAGTAACATCATCGGAGGTAATTCCCAAGAGTTCTGAGGAGTCGACAGTTAGGGAGCTGGATGTATCAGAACCATCAACCGACAAAGTTGGGGATAACATAGCAGAATTGAATTCAAGCAATGACCAGGAAGCCGATTCTGAACAAAAACAGGATGAAGCTCAAGATAACCAAAAGAGTGACCACGATTCCACAATAGAAAGTAAGGCTTTTTTAAGTGGCGATCATTCAAAACATGAGCAAGAAAATGGCCACAAAGACAGCGATAGCATGGAATCAAACATAGCCATTGTTAAACCAATGATGCGATCTTCTTCCCACGAAGAGGACAAGACGGGAAAGGAATATGGAGCTGCCCAATCTGCCGAAAATTCAGGAACGTCTGCTCAGGTAGAAATGCTCTCATCAAAGGATAAAAACGAATTGTCAGAGGATCAAACTGATAGCAATAAAGAATCAGACAATGTTGCAGATGAGCCCGAATCTAACGTTGGAGATGATGCGAGTAAGGATCAAAAAGGAGATGAAATACCAAAGGATGAAATGATCCCCGTGGGTCAACCACCATTAGCAACTCACTTGCAATCAGGTAATACGAAATCGGACCATAAAACGGATACAGATCTCGAATCTGAAACACGTGAACCCGTGCCAAGCCGCAATGATGTTATTGATCCCAGAGACACTAACGATATGAGTGATCAAAGCGATAATCAGCTCGATAATAACCGTGAAAATAACAGCACGGACCCGGGGGTCATTTCAAATAAAACACCTGATAATAAGAATGTTGATGAAGTCAAAGAGCACGATGTCGAGGTCAAAGATAATAACGCCGATAATAGCAAAGAACAAGGCACAGAAAATTATGTTATCAAAGAAGTCATTCCAACTGATACTACCGCGGCAGTGACAGAAAATAATGAGGTCACACCAAATGAAAAAGTCTTTGAAAGCACATCAAATAATCAAGTCAGAGAAGCCAGAGAAGTCAAGCCACATAATGAAGAAGTCACCGAAGACACAGAAATTAGTGAAGTAAAAGAAGTCACAACAAATGATAAAGTCTATGAAAGCACATCAAAATATAATCAAGTCAAACCAGTCACAATCCATAATTATGAAGTCACAAAATCTAATGAAGTCAAAGAAGTGATACAAAATGACAATTCTGTTGAAAAGGAAGAGGTGAAAGCAGAAAAAGACACAGAGGTCTTAAAGACTCCCGATGAAGAGAAAACGGAAGAGGTATCTGAAAGAGGATCTCCTCGGGAGAAGGTGGAGGAAGCTCGAATTCAACCAGAAACTGCCCAGAAGTTGGGTTCATCCAATGATAAGACAGAAAAGGACAAAGGCCAATCTCAATCTCAACCACCAAGTGTAGCAAATTCTGACAAGACTACCGAGAACCAAATGTCGAAAGATGAAGTTACAGAGCCACAGAAAAAAACATCAGTGTCATCTCAAACAACGGAAGAAACGGATCCAAAACCGGAAGTGGAACCCGTTTCGGAAGAGGTCCAGAAAGATGATTTTACTAAATGGTTATTGGAGGAAGAGGCACCAAAGACAGAGGAGACAACCGATCAACGTGGTCACGATAGGATTCCCACACCAGTCCGCGAACCTACTCCAGAACCAACAACAGAAGAACAGTCCACAGAAGAAGAGTACAGAGAACCTACACCCGAGGAGAAAAAGGCCGACGAAAAGGAAAATGACAAAAGAGGGATGGACGACGACAAAGGTGAACCCCGTGCTCCTACCAATCATAGAGGAGAGGACTCCCTTAACAAAGAGATCAGCCTCCCTAAGAAAAAAGAAGTACAAAAAGTGGATGACGAAACAGATAAACAAGATCCCAAGCCTCCCCAGTCTAACAAATCGCAGCCAAATCCACCTAAAACAAAACGGAAAGACTCTGTTAAACAAAATATAGCTAACAATCAAAAGTCCACTGGACGTAGGCGGACCATTCGAGCGCCAAAGCCGATTCAGTCCGAGAAACCTAAAGAGGAACAGCAAAGACCTGTTCAGCGTAGCAAGCCGGTGGAAGCTAACAAGCCAGCTTCTCGACAAAGGCCGATTACAAGAGAGAGGACAACGCCACCTTCAAATAAAGGATCAACCGGAAGTAGGCCAGAGACAACAAATGGGCGAATGCGTCATACATCTTCCTCAACCAATGGTCGTCTGCTTCAAAGGGAGACAACTAGAACTTCCCAGAAATCACAACGACCAAAATCCACGGGAGTCCGAGGTACAGCCATTTTAAGTAGGAACTGCGGATCAAAGAAAACATAGACCTCAAATATCCATTAAAAGAGACTTTGGACTCTTTGTTCCAATGTAATTTGATTCGGTAGTATCTATGTTTGCTTCGGTCCAAAGATCTGTTTTTAATTTCAGTGTAAGGTCAAAACCAAGATTAGATAATCCCATCAAGTTGCTTGGGAATGCTTTGTTGCAATGCAAGTTGCACTCGGTTTACATTCACATCAAAGACCTTCCAGAGCAATGCTTTCCTCTGAAGGTCAACTGAAACCCCATAGTCATTGTGTGCTGTGCTGCTAGTTTACAGTCACCCTGTCACTAACTAACCTTGTGTGTACTAACCTCACCCAATTACCCTTTGCTACCACTCCCAAGCTACAGCAAGGGTATTATGAGTCTTCCACATACACCCTTGCTGTAACAAGCCAATATCACCCCACTAATAGCTAATAACTTCCCATGGCGGTACCAAATTTCTCTCAAGATGGTCGAAGACCCGCATAACCTTTGCTTTACTGGCTAAGCTTCCCAAAGATACCCAAAAATTCCCAAAACAAACTTGCTGTTGGTGTGCTTTGATACTTAAATTCACTTTTTTGCACCCGGTTCCGGTCACCATGCACACTAATAAAGCATCAAAGCATTCCCAAAGCATTTCAAACGCATTGTTCCCTTAAGCAATCCGGTTAAGACCCAAATGAAATGAAGGAACTCTTTTACAAACGTCCATGCTCTTATTCCAGCAGTCCAAATGGATTTTCCTATGCATACTAAGTTCACACAATCAGTGGCAGAGTGGTATCAGGTGCTGCAAAAGAGTCACTGTGTAGTCTCTTGTAAAGTATCCCTTATTACATATTGCCCATAGGACGTAACATTTCAATTCATGCTCGGTTTCTGTTTACAGATTCCTCTGATGGTCGAGCTGAGCAGAATGAGTTCTTTAGGAAGGAGTTAACAAGGATCGAGGAAGGGTTAAAGAAAGAAGTTTCCAAAATACAGAAGCCACTCCAGTTAGTATGAATATTGTTAGCCCTAACGCCTCAAACAACCTGTTCGTCTGCAATTTAATCAAACCAATGGAAATGACATCAGCAGGGCAGTTCTTTACCCCTGGTATCTGTACGTTTTGATCAAATTTAAGGGGCTGAGATGAACAAGATTTCAGTCAGGATCTCACCACTCATTTAGACCAATAACTTTGATTTACTTTTCAGAAAGAAACACACGCCTTTTATTTTTAACGATTTGAAGCCTTATTATGATACAAGCTCACAAAGATACCTTATTGAAACAGTAAGTAATATATAAACCTACATTTTAGCTTTTTACATTAAATCAAAACGTCCTGAGCTATGTGGACACTCCCAAAGGAAGGCCAAGTTATTTGAAATGAGAGCTCCTCGAGAGAAGCATCTTCAGTGTCAACAAGACCACAGCTCGACCACATTGTCCTTGAACTCTTTACGCTCTGCATACCTCATACTAATTTATCCTGCAATGTGTTCTGCCATTCCAGCCAGAAGAACTGCAGCACTGTTATTCCAGCAGAACCACAGCAATAGGTTTGATTGATCCCTGGAAAAATCTCGAGATGGACAAATCTGTTCTTCCAGTTTTAGAGCCTAAAGCAGTCAACCGCGGAGAGACGCAAAAGAAAAAAGAGTAAGTATTGAAGGATTTGTGATGACCTGTGTATGTTCAGAAACAGATGGAGTTAAGGACCTTTCTGTTTCTCAACAGCTTCGACCATTACGATTTCCAAACTTACGTTAGTCGTTCATGAATCATGTAACTATGGCACATGTAGTGGCTTGAAAACCCCTTAAATCACAATTTTCATTAAATTTCTATTACAGAAAGAAAATTGATGAACGAGCAAAGAAAACTAAACACGAAGGCAGCACAAGACTTCCAAAATATCCTGTAGTTACTTTAGAAACGTCTGATTTAGCCACCAAGAAACTGTATTATAGCGATGTCCCCATGTTAAGGTAAGAGCGCCATTTGTTCAGTGATCTATTCTTAAACGGTGGAAGAGCGACAAAAGCTGAAGCTCAATCATAAGCTATTAAGCAAGCAACTCAAAAAAGCACACCATATAATTATTCCATGTCACTGTTTCTAGTAAATCCAAAGCACTACTGTGAACTTATCATTCTTTTGCGGTCATTCCATGGATTTGCGACCCCACTAAGTTATCAAAAGTATACGAAGTTAACATACTATTTAAGGCAAAATTTAAGTTTGGTGTCCAAGTCAAAACAAATTGTACCTTGACAATTTTCAGGGAAGAATTGAAGCAGAAATATAGCGCAAACGCTACCAAAAAGATCGAAGAAGACTACGAGAAGACGAAGCAAGACTTTTATCGCATGGATTTAGACAAGCTGAACGAAGTACATCCCGTTAACAGGGAACATATGAGAAGCACCTATTTTGCCTACCTCCAAAACACCCCCGGCTCCAAGAAAGCCATAAATGAGTGTGTGAAAAGTATAGATAAAACCGAGAAGGCACAATAGGGTTATTCTGATTATTTTGAATTTTTAAAAAGGTTATGCTTTTATGTTGATTAATTGAACGCTCGTTTACAAAATAACAAAATGAAAATTTAAGGTGAATGATTCATTCAGTAAAAATGAAAATCTTTTTCTATGTTATATATATATGAATATATCCCTCTATATTTGAATGTTATTATTTAAGTCAGCATGCCTGTGATATATTTTGTTGATATTGTATTCAATATTTGGAGGGTCCACGTAGCCTGTATATTTATCTCTAATAGGCATCGAGGACTGAATCATCAATGTGTAAATTCCAAAAATCAAAATGGCGTATCGAAAGCAAGTTCGGCCATGTTGCCATCAAATCTGTCCACGATTTTCAAAATCAAAATGGCTTTTTGGACACCATATTGTATTTGTAACAGAAAAAGAAATTCGACGATGTTGCCTTCAACTCGCCCCTTATACTCAGTATTCGAGACTCCGTCCACGATTGTTGAATGTCAAAATGTGCCTAATATAAAATTGTTCCTATATTTTGTATACTTTGTCAACTACCATTGGTTATCAATTTCAAAATGGCCGCGGTTTGGTCGCCATTTTAAATATATTTATCTACCATATTGTTTCTGATCTACATGTTATGACAGGGTCTTTATCATAAACAGAGAAAATCTTACTTATTACATCAAGATATTATGGTAGATCTTAAATTTTACTGGTATTTAAATGCCTATGATTTTCTATTGTCTATATAATGTAACGTTATTGTAAAATTGCCAGAGTTACTTCCCTTATAAAATGAGTTTTAAAAAATCTATTTTTATCCTCACAAAGCAAGAAAATTTCGCTCTTAACAGATCCATCGATCGGCCATTTTGTTTCAAGCAGATCCATCGATCGGTCATTTTGTTTCAAGCAGATCCATCGATCGGTCATTTTGTTTAATGCAGATCCATCGATCGGCCATTTTGTTTAATGCAGATCCATCGAGCGGCCATTTTGTTCTAAGCAGATCCATCGATCGGCCATCTACTGTAGGAGCATATCCGTACAGTTTTACAGTGGGTTCCTAATAAATTAGCTGGTACGAATGCCGGTGTTTTTTATAGGCCATACTTTTAATTTTGTCATGAAGGAATTACTCCTCTTTAATATGATTCTTTTGAATGAAAATTCATACAGTTGGGTGAAGGAAATTTATCTGAGGATATGCACTGACTTAAAAGCAAACAGTTATGTAATATTGACTCACCCTAAACACGTGTCATAACCGTCTAAAATACTGTCAATTATCTCCCCTTGGACTTCAATTTGCACGTGCATTGAGAAGAGGGTTGAACTAGTTTTATTGTCTTGACGTATCTTGTTATCATAACGGTCTGAGAGTACCTTTACGGTACATACTGCAACCATAGACAAATGGTAAAGGGGTGGGGGATAATTCTGTTCAGTTTTGGGCCAACGACACCCCTCCCCCTTTTGTCTGCACTTTCTAAGAGGGAATATCTCTTCATTTAAATCTAAGCCCCACACAATAAATATGCATTTATCAGAGAGTATATGTACCCTTATTAGGTATGTTATTTAATTCTCTTGGTAGTTATACTACTAATGTGTATTGCCATTGGAAATTATAGTAGTGAAGGGGACAAATACATTCTTAATACAAAAATAAATTGAAATATGTTTATTGAATATGAAAATAAATTGAATGAATATATGATTTGTCATGTTAGGCTTATTGTTAATACACATGAATACCATTAATTTGACATCTGTAAATCTGGAAGCTAATACAAGAGTTCAGCAGGATGACCAGGTAATGACATAAGACCTTAAAGGGCAGTTACTTCCATAAAGAAAGAGGTCCCAGTGCTCAGTGGTATGGTGTTTTGAACTGATTGCCCTTCGAGAAAACCTGAAGAACGCATTGGCTTCCTGGCAGGGTTCAATCCTGGCACACTGTTGGAAATCAGCTGCAGAAATGTAAGATGTAAGACACCATTTGGACCAGAAATGGACACAAATAAAGAGTCAGCAAATTGTTGTATATAGCATTAAATGTCAGAACACTCAATCCTGATGAGATTCCACAGATCTTGTGGACAATATTTCTTTGTGAAAGTTTGTTAGCAAGCCTGATCAATTCTAAAAATGTCAAATCAGATATCATGCTTTCATGATTTCAAAATAGAGTAAAATAAATGATAGAAATATTAAACCAATATAGTATAAAATGACAATAGTCCATTTGGCTGACCTAGATTTAAATTTAAATGCTTTGTTTTATTTGATTTGAAACTTTGTTTGGGCTGTTTTTGGACTCATTTGGCTGACGAGTGACAGCTATTTGAGATCAGATATAGAGTCAGGAAGAACTATTCTGAATTTAACTTGATACAGATGACAGGTGTTCATTCTGCCATTGGAAGAAGATTTGACTAGTAGATTTAACAATAGTATGGAATGGAAGTATTTGGACCTGAATATGGATTTCTGAATACATGTAATTTTTTTGCGTCCCAAAATTAGCACTTTCATAAAATTTTGAATATTGTGAAAAATTCTCCATTATCAAATTTAACTGCATGAAATCAAAATAATATTTCAAACCCTTAATGGTTGATAGAAGAAATTTGGTGCTCTATCAAATAATTTTGAATTTTCGCTGAAAAATTTTTTCACCAGACAATCAGGAATGATTATTCGGTGCCAAAGTATTTCTGACCGAAATGATTTGGAGCAACAGGATGAATTTCAGAAGTCAAGATCGTAATACCTGGAGATTCCGCAATGACATTTTTGGCAGCTTGAGGCGTACAGAATAGATTTAACAATATAACATTATCCTCGTTGACTTTGTGTTCCCTTAGCACCTTGATAGCTTGAGCAACAGTATTACCAGTACTCATAATGGGGTACATGAGTAATACTTTACGTTGGGAGATGTCAGGAGGTAGCTTGGCATACACCACTTTGGCCTTATGTGTCTCCTCATCGCTCTGGATCAAAATTTTGCCAATGCGAATGGAACGACAGCAGTCTCGAAGACCCTGTTCCATGGCCTCTCCTGACCGCATTATACTGACTCCACAATTACCCTTTTGATAGCGTAGACCATTGTAAGAATGCCCTGAAAAAATAACGAAATCCTTCATTTCAAATATACTATAGAGTATAATTATCATTTGATATTACTAGCAGAGTATATCATATATATAACAATTCTGATCTGGATTGAATCAGTCTGGTGTGCAATCAGAGAAATTATTATTTATTGTCCTATTCAATCAACTTAACCCTTTTATTTCTCAGCCGCTCTGATGAGCATCAACAGCATCTCTGGCACGAGAAAACTAACACAGAATATCTGATTGTGATACCATTTTATCGAAATATTATTAGATCATTTTGTCCCTTTTTCAAACCAACATATTTCTAACTTTCATTTGACAGGAGTGACATTGATGTCATTTTATAAAAATATTTAGTCGCCATTTCACCATTTGGCAACTTTCCATGTTCACTGATAACCTATATTTATCATTTCATAACAAACATTTAAAAAATCTGTCTTTTTATCATTGGTTAAAAAATATAATTTATTTCCATTCTACCACAAAAATTAGACATTCCCTTTCTATTTGAAATATAAACCCATTGTGTTGCCTCTGCCAATTTGGTGGCATCTAGTGAATCTGTTGAATTTATTTCAATAATCTATGAGAAAGATTTTGTCAGCTAAGTTATTTTGCAAACAAAGTGAGCTTATCAATATTGAGATGAAATCAGCATGACAATTTTCTGTTAAATCAGTTTTTTTTTCAACCTCTGTATCAAAGGTAACAAGCTGTCTGACTCATACACCTGTGAGACATCAAGCTAGTAAGGGTTAACATAACATACCTGTAGGAGTAACAATAGAACATTCTCTGTAGGGTAATTGATTTAACCCTTCCTCCACCAACAGTCGAATCAATCTATCAGCATAAAATATAAAATCACTTCGGCTTGTTGTCTTGTCTCTAAGAACTGTTTGTAATTCTTTAATATTATCAGTAATTTTCAGTTTTCTAACTCTACCATTAAATTCTCCCTCGTCCATGACAGTTGGCACCGAATTCTGGATCAGATCTGGTGCTGCTTCCATGATGATTCCTGGTTTGTTCAATTTGGCATCAGACTTTGAAATTTCTGAAGATTTAAAAGAAAAGTTGTATTACAATGTAGGTCTCTCCATTTAACCTTTACTAGGACACTGTTACTGAATCGTCGTTTATTTTTATAACTATATTTAGACTATATTTGATTGGTATTGTCACATCAGTATATAGCCTTGTTCACAACATTCCTATAATGTCATAATACAAGCCATTTCTTTCAGCTGGACTGTACCTCATGAGCAGGTTAGTTGGTTGGGAGATAACAAGTGAATGTCTGCTTCTAACTAACTGATATCACAGTCTTATCAGTAAAATGTAAAGGAGATGTCCTTGTTCTCCTGATTCGCTTACTAATAATGAAAATGGACCCAGTAGTCTTCATGTCATGTGTCAGATCATCCCTTTCTTATCTTCAACATTTAATTCTAATCTATAGCTATAGGACCACTCAGACCAATCTAATGGTAAAGGGCCACTAATCCAACAAATGATTAATCAATTAATGTAAAAAGACAACTCACACCAATTAATCACTTTGATGTGAACAGCTCAAAGGGATTAGGCATGATTGGAGATTAGGCTACTCATATTTTGGCAATGAGACAGAACCTCGAAATGATATCAGCTTCCACTGGAAGCGAACGTTAATTTGTCATCTACCTACCTCGAAATGAAAGGAAAGAGTAACGACAAAAATCAAAAAAGCCACGACAGCGATCCTGAAAAAGCTGTTTGATTTTTCCCTCACTAACTGCGGAGTTTGCGTTCGGAAAGTCAAGACACCGGAAAAAAAAATCGGAAAAATAACATCTGATCGCTCTCCTCTATGGTTCAAAAGCTCAGGATTGATTTAGATGTGTCTGCTAATGAATTAAAATGAATGTTTTATAACTACCTGACTTTAACTTCGAGAAAATCTGACCATTTATCAATTTATAAATTTTTTTTTTTCGCTTTGTCCGCAAATTTTCACTAGGGGCAGATAACTCTTAAAGCTGACGATCTTTTATGGAGAGACAAATTAGCAGAAAGTAACGCTTATGTGGAAAACTATACTATCCAAAAGTCTTCCTTTTGCAAAATATGCAATTATTAGTAAACCATCGGTTCTTTTGCGGAAAACTACCTTTCCCAGGGTCAAAAGAGGACAAATGAAGTACATGGGCTTAGAAATAGTCCCACCAAGGTAGTGATTGGCCACTAAGCCCATGTGGGACAGAAACTCTTTCACCCATAAAGAGCTAAATTAAAATAACCAACGTTGAAATAAACCCTTTAATATTACACATAACAAAATATAACTTATGACTTTGGAATAGTATATACAAAACTTTGTTACAGAATATATAAAAAAAGCAAAGCAAACATTTTCAATTTCAATTCATGGGGAGGGATGTAGCTCAATGTATTAAAGTGCCATCATGTGCTGCAGCTGGAAATAAAAGTTCAGACATGAAAGATGACAGTGGAATCAAGCAATCTGAGAATTTTATTCATCAACATATATGGTTGTCATATCATGACCAAAAATTAACATAATGAACAAGTATATATTTTGATAATTCAAATATCCGAAGCTAAGCCTCCACTCCAAATTGTTCTCAAACAACAAACTCCTTCCCCAAACAAATATACATAAGAATATCAATACCTAAAAATTTGATAAAATCAAATGGCCCTTTTAATGAATCTTCTTTTAATAGATCAATCTATTATTAGGGTCACCCATATTTTGAAGCCCTATCATTATTTAAGTTTGATTCAAAAATAATAAATGCACTTATGATGAAACAAAATAACACCCACAATCAGAATTTGAGACCCGTTTTATATAGTAACACCCACTTTTCAATGTGTGGTCATTGCCTATATGTCTATTATTCAACATAATATGGCCAATAACAAAATCCACTTTTCAATATGTAGCCAATCAAGAAAACCCATATATCCACATGTGTCCCATTACATTTCAACATATATGTCTTCTTGTAATCACAAATTCTATTATTCAACATATTTCCAATCGCAAAACCCATGATCACAACTATCACGATAACTTCACTGCTACAATATCTCTGTCTTTACGATTTAATCGTGATTCTTTTTCTAATTTACGTTTCTGATGTTCCAATTGTCTCTGTTGACGTTCAGCTCTGCGTTTATCTTTTAATGCCACCTCTGCTTCATAAGACAGATCCTCATCACCCACTTCATCCCATGCATTATTTTCATCTTCCCAAGCATCAAGCTCTGATCCCGTCTGCAAAAAATATCAAGCAAAATTGGTTACATACCTTACTAGAGGGATTGTTAAGAGGTTTTCCAATTTGGTATGTATATCACGGACACAGATAGCATGGATTGCACCATTTCAATTTTCAGTCAGATGTCTGTGGTTCTGGTAATTATGATAAGGGTTGAGGTTTATAGTAAGATGGGGGTGAAGCCTACCTGTAAAGGAATATCTGAAGTCATAGCTAATCTGTTAGAGATAGCACTCTTATTAATATTATTATCTGCGGCATGTTTCTTCTTTACATGTATCTGAAAGGACAAAAAATTGTACTTTTTTTAATCAGTCAAGATTGTAAAAATCTGTTGACATTTATGACGAGCTGCTAAAATCATCAACTTGTCCAGCAAGGTAAAAACCACCGTTAAATCAAACACAGCTTGCAAATACAATATTCAAATTGACACAAGAAAATGAAACCAACCTTAGCTGTCTTTCTAAGAGATGGTTCCATATCTTCAAAATAATCAGGTTCAGGAACAGGCTCTGGTTCAGGTTTTTTGAGATTTTGGCGGTAATTGTTGATATATTGTTGTGTAGGGTTGCCATAGTTATTATTCGATCTATTATTAGTTCCAGCATCGTTCCAACTATCCCATGGTTCCATTTGTATCTGTAATACATAAAAAAAATAATAAATATATGAAACTTAACGATTTTACTATTCTGATAATAATAGCCAATGTCATAACAGGCACTGCAGGTACACGGTGCCAAAGATGTTGATATTTTGTTAAAAATCAGAGACTTACATCATTATTGCCAGGATAAGACTGTGTCATGTCTATGGACAAGGAATTGAGATCTGTGACTGGTGCTGCAAAATCACTCTCTGAAGAACGTCGTCTGCGACATACTGCTCTTTTCAAGGGAGATAATAAATATCTGATGAGATTGAATATGGATTTGATGATATTTATTAACGCCTTCATTATTATGCTTCTTTAAATCTGAAATGACAAGACATTTTTTAAACTGTTGCTTTTCTTTCTTAATTTTAGGATATTAGACACTGTCAATGTCAATGAAAATAGAAAAGTTTACTTCTAATGCTGCCTCATCCAAGAGCAATGCTATGCTTATTATTATTTATTCTATAGAGGTGGAAAAATAAGGGGGGGGGGGGGGTGCAAAAGAAAATATACGACAGCTGTAAATGCGATTACAGAAATATGATCCACTGGTTCAAAGCGGGCGACAAACAGCAAATATCTAGGTAAGGCTGGTAAACGAATCTAACAACTAACAATCGGCAAATTACGCTTTGAAACATTAAAAGATAAAAAAAGAAATTATTTTATTGACAAGCACCACACTTACTTCCGGCTAGATAGAATTGCGGATTATTTACTTCCGGTACCTCGTCCAATCAAAAGTCAGAATCTGTTACACTTTCAGTTTATTTCTGCTAACAAGATGGCGCCGAACACGCAGAGCAAAGGCCAAAGTGTGATTATTCGCCTGTATTTAATTTTATATAATGTCGCTCAGCTAGCTGGGTAAGTAGGCGTGCATTGCTTTGTGTTGGCAACAAGTTTTGCAACTGCTTCAGCTCGAAGCTCGCGTAAAAAGACGGTTTTTAGTGCATTTAGAAAAATGGGCGTGTGTAAATACCGAGATGTACCCTATTCAACAAAAATAGATATTACACCACTGGTTACAATTCAATTTTATACAGGGGTTGGAGGCCAACACTTGGCTGACTTTTGGAAGCAATAGCTGTGGCATCAGATTTTTCCTTATCTTGAGAGTGATTCAAACCCATGGCACCTTTTCTTTAGCAGACGACAATCCAAGTCGCTGCAGACAGAGCTATTCCGCACTTGGTTGACTTATGCGATGATTTAATTATTTATTTTGCTATTTTTAGTATTTTTACCTTGTTTTTCAGATGGTCGTTCCTCATGTACAAGATGGTGGAGGTGTACCTTAAACAAAAGTCGTTTAATCTGATCTATAAGGAAGTTGATTATATCGTGCAGATTTTCCAAACTGCAGCCATTTTAGAGGTGAGAATGGAATAAATAGTTTTAGCTTTTTCTAGTACCAGTACTGTAGTTTTGATCCTTGAATAATTATACCATAAGATTGTGTTTCATCATTTAATGTTTTCCCCTTTCTTCACTAATTTTTTATATTCTTATCCTTATTTTTTGTTTCCTTACCAATCCTGGAACTCTGGATGCCCTTGAACCACTCATCATAAAATTTTCTCTTTTTAATTTGTAGGTTCTACATTGTGCAGTGGGCTTTGTGAAATCTAGTGTGGTTTTAACAGCATTTCAGATAGCTTCTAGAGTCTTTTTGGTTTGGGGAATCGTCTATAGTGTGAAAGAGGTAGGAATAAATTTGTTATATTTACATCTGATTACATTATTTAGTTATTTGTGCTTGCCATTCAGCATCCCTTTCCAGTAATGTTTATGTGGTATTTGGCTTTGAAATTCCTATGAATGAGTCCACATAGCTGGTAATGCTTACTTTTGGATTTGTTAATTAGAAAGTCCATAACTGGTAGCCTAATGATTAATTGGTATTTTGCTTTCAGGTTCAGACCAGTCCAGCAGTTCCCATGTTTTTATTTGCATGGACTGTAACAGAGATCATTAGATACTCATTTTATTTTTTCTCACTGGTGGGAAGTGTACCCTATATACTCATCTGGTGCAGGTATTGATTTATTCCAAAATTTCCTGACATTTTTTAAATTTTACAATTTGTTTCAAAAGGCTTTGTGGGTCATGGAATACCTATAGTTAATAATTATTAGAAGTCAAATAAGCAGCTATGAGTGAAAAACTATTGAAAATCGGAATACATGAATATTACACAATTGCTGAATTTACATTCTATTTACAGATATACCTTTTTCATCATTCTCTATCCAGTTGGCGTGCTAGTAAGTTTACTTCTTTTATTTGCAAATCAACAAAGAACATTGTATTATTACATGCTTATATTAAGCTATTGACACATGTTTCTGATTTTAAACCCATCATCAGGAATGTACATACATATCTCAAGCTAGAGGTGAATTGCATTAAGAACAAATGACCACTTACAATATAACTGACCAAAGACTACTGTTTTTTTTCTCTTTCTAGGGTGAATTGTTGTCAATTTGGGGTGCCATGCCTTTTGTGAAGAAAACAAACCTATATAATTTAGATTTACCAAACCAGTATAACGTAGCCTTCAATTTCTACTTCTTCTTATGGTTCGTTATTGTCATGTACATACCAGGTAAGACTACGTCTGCTTTGACTTGTTTAGAATTAGTTCCCTTTGATTGTGAAAATCATGACATTGAAGGTACTTTTTGTAGATCAATTTCAGAGTTATTTCCCTTCCATTGCGCATGCTTTTCTGTAAATATTGCAATTTATGCTTGCTTCATATTCCAACTTCCAACTAAGTCTTTTCTGGTAAATTAAGCTATTGGTAATCTTAGTTGTTCTATGTGTAGTAATAGTAGTTTAGTAATTGGTTTAGTAATGTTAATGTTAGTAATTGTTTTAGTAATGGTAAATTTATTAGTTGTATTTAGTTATGGTGAATTACTTGCTCTTATCAGAATTATTCATTTGAATTTAGTAACAATGAACTCCAGAATGATAAATTTAATATAAATTCTATTTTCTTTCAGTTTTTCCTCAGCTGTACATGCATATGTTACGTCAAAGAAGAAAAATGGTGGGTGGAGAAAATACTAAACTCAGGCAGAAAGCCGACTAAAATTTCCTTGAACAAATTCCTGGCAGTAGCTATTTGCCAAGTTACTGGCAGGAGCTATTTGGATAAATTCCTTGCAGGGAAAATTTGAACAAATTATTGGCAGGGTCTAATTGAACAAGTGACTGGCAGCAGCTATTTGACAAGTTACTGGCAGCGTCTATTTGCCAAATTTTCAGGCTGTTTATTTCTAAAATCGTGGTTTCAAATTTTACAAAGCATTTAGTAGCATATACTCAATGAAAAAATGATGTGATTGGATGAATGATTTCTTTGAATTTGAGCATAATCTGATAAACAGTAGACATAGCTAATGAATAAATTTTAGAAAATTTAGCTCTAGAAATTTGAGAATTTAAGCCAATGAAAAAAGGCTAAATTCAAAATCTAGGTTAGTGAATATATCAATAATTATTTTATACTACTAACTTTTTAATAAATTTGTATTAATCCTTGCCCATTTTTTCAGTTATATGAGTCGTGTCTCAAGCTTTTCAAGAATCGAAACCCTGTACCACCAGGTTAGCAAATAAGTTCCTTAACTTATTATATTTAGCTTTTGCTAAATGAAATCAGACGAGCAAAATAAATGAACTTATTGCACAGCATAAAGTGGGTGTATGTTAATTGATAACCACCTGGTATAATAATGATCATTTGGAAAATAAAGCTTCATAAGGACAGTTGATTTGGAAATTTGGGTTAAATTTCCAATATTTGATAATCTGGCATAATGATAGTATGGTCAATAAAAGCTTGTCCAAGACATTTGGTATGGAAATTGGGGTTATATTTCCAATATTCAAGATCTGAATTTTTAAATGGGGACATGAGCAAAGTACATGAACTTATTGCACAGGATAAAGTGGGCGTATATGAAGTGATAACAACCTGGTATAATGATATATATATACTGATTTTATTTTATTTTTATATAAAATTCGACAAAATACTGGTAGCTGATAACTAAAATGGTATTTTATTTTAAATTGTACTAAAAAAAAATATTTAGCCTGTCATATCTAGAGAGTCTACATGGTTTTGAAATTGGTTTAGTGTATACCTACAACCCATTAAATGCCTTTACTCTTCTGGGACTTGCTCTCAGAAGCATAGTAACTGAGGATTTAGTTTTGAATAACAGGCTTCAGTTTTGAATAACTGAGGCTTCAGTTTTTGAATAACTGAGGCTTCAGTTTTTGAATAACTGAGACTTCAGCTTAGGGGTAAATGAGACTTTGATATTCAGCATTAATATAGCTGAGTAAAATTACTTTAAAAGTAATGATTTTTCAGGCAATAAGCCGAAGTATCATGTTTATAAAAGTTGGCCTTAGTCAATACATGTTACATAGAGGCATTGATGGGTTATAATAAGGTAAGGTGATAGAGGCATTACAGTAAGAGAGGCATTTAATGGGATTATGCCATGGTGCCTTAATTTGGTGGTAGAGGTAAGATCTATCATGACATGTGGTAAAGTGGTTTAAATGGTCATGTCCATTTATATTTAATGATTATAAACGATTTCTTTTTTAAAATACACATGCAAGTTTTCCCGAAATTAACAAGCCAGCCAAATATTGATTAGAATGGTAAACTTTGACCTCTGTTAAATAGATCTCTTGATATGAGGCATTCAAAATGACGTGAGTTACCATGGTAACCACTATTATTTTCTACGTCATTTTATGTGTTTCGACAATGACAAAAATATTCAAGCTATATATATCTTTATGTGATTCTCTAGTTCATTGGTCTGCCCCAAATGTTTTTGGATTCCTTCTGAATTGGGATACATCATTTCTTAAAAGCAAGCCATAATTTGTGTGAAGTTTTGGAAGTGCTTTATTATTTTAGAATAAGAAATTTTCTGACTTTTTTCTCCATTTCATCATCAATAGAAGAACCTTCAAGATTTGAACCTTCAGCGCCCAATTACCTATCAATGACATGCCCCGTCCAATGCTTTTTAGAGCAGACCAATCAAACCTTATGGTGTAGTTCTTTTTTTTTTTAAATATCCAAAATGACACCAATAAAAGCAGAATTATTTTAAACATGACATGATAGTTATAATAATAGAATAGAGTGGTCAAAAAGGCATTCAGACACAGTTTTGACATCCATTCAGGCTAAGCTAGGCTAGACCGAAGGGACATAACTCTTATTATACTATGATCAAAACTGTCTCAGAAGGCCCTTATCCACCACTTCCATGTAATAAGAAACTATAAACTAATATATATAACCAATAACTTGTACATATATACACATAAGCTTTAACACAAAGGGAAATAACTCTTTCTTCCTGAGGTCACAATGTTTTCATTTAAAGGGAGGTAATTGTTATTGAGTTAATAGTAACAATAAAATAAAAATTAAACAAAAAAACTCAGAAAAGATTATGAATTATTCAAATGTGTAGAAAAAAAGTGACAAATGCAGTTATTGTGTTCCCTTTTGTCATTTAAACGACTAGAGTTACATCCCTTTACCATCTAGGCTAATGAAGGGAGGTTACTTTAGTAGATATAAATGTAATTTTTTCTAGAAATAATAAACTCTGTATATGAATAAATAACTGAGAGTAAAGGCCCATTATAACTTTCTAAGTTTTAGAGGTAGGTCTATAATGGACAACAAAATTATTTCTTACAAATTTTTTAAGCTATTTTCAAAGCTATGATACATAAACTAAATTCCAGACAATTTATGTCTGCTATTTGAAGAAGCAAGCTGAATCAGAGATTGGTGAACATGTTTTGATGGTTTAAGCGCTGAAAACTAAAGCCATAGGTGCTTTGATTTTGGGATTTGCCAAAAACGTTGTGTTTTTTTTTTTTAAGCCATAACACAGAAATTTCAAATTGCAGACACACACTACTGAAGCAACCTTTTCTAAAGTAGTAAAGTACAAAGTTTTGCAATTACTATAAATATCAGTGAAAATTGTCAAAATATATAACAGAAGCGAATGCAACAAAAATCAAGATATTCTAACGAAGATTACAAAATATTTTTAAATTTCAAATGCATTTTTTTCTATCACATTCTTGGCCTAGTTTACATAATAATGAATGAGGTAGCAACGTTCAATGAAAGCTTAAGCCAACTTTAAGCTTTGAAGCTCAGCTTAAAGCACTTTTGTTTAAAAAAAAAAAGCATATTCAAGAGATAACACTTTGATTTTCCTTTGTTAATTAATCCCACAATGTATTATATTACATTGACATTGAGGAGGGTTAAAGATTTAAACCTAGGATTAAAAAAAGTAAAATTAAGCTCTTAAGCTTTAGGATTTAATTTAAATAAAATTTAGTATAGTGGTTTTAGTTTTTCTGCAATTCCTGATAGAAGTTCATTATTAGAATGATAATAATGTGGTTTTAATAATGAAGATATAATAAACATAATGATACAATATTGAGTTATAAAAATAATAATAATGTTCAAAAGTAATAATAATGGCAAAGAAACCTGAGAAGCCATAATGGAAATAAGATGCAGAAATTTGAACAACAATAAAGTTTTTCTTTTATTTAGAACTTAGAGTTAGAGTTATAACCTTTAATTTAAATCCCAAAAGGTTATATATTAATTATAACCATTGGCATTATTGTGTTATATATTTTATAATCCATGACATTTGTTTTATCATCTGAAACCGTAATGTTATATTCAGATTCCAAATTGTTATATATAACTTATAATTTGGAAACCATCAAGTTTCTGTTATATTGTGATTTGGAAACCATGTAGTTATAAATTTATAACTTATTTTGTTTTATATAACTTATAATTTGGAAACCTTGATTTAGCACTAATAACAATTATATTATCACAAATTTTCTTATAGAGGTTATAGGTTATAGGTTAGATATCTAGTTGAACTTTGGTATTGTCTTCTTTGTTGAATTCAAATTTTCACCTTAAGATCATCTTAGGTTATTATATGTAAGCAATGGTGATTTTAGCAAAATTTCAACACTTTTGAATTAACCACTTAAATGCCAATCTGTCTCAAATGAAATTTTGCAGAAATTTTTGGACTGAATTAAAGGAAAGCTCAGGGAGAGTGCTCCTTTAATTCATGTTTTCAAAATATGAATTCAACAAAGTAACGTAAGTAAAGTTCTAAAAGTAAAGAGACATTTCTACAAATAGAGAAAACATAATTAACAAAAAAAAACTTATAATATATTTAACTTTCTATAACTATGCATTAAATGTAATAAATTTCCTAAAAATGTTGGATGAAAAAAAAATGGCTTTCTTAGAACTAGCACTGTTAATATTCTCTACAAGGGAATGTTACATCTAATATAATTTGTCATATATTCTAAGTAAGGATTTAACGTTAAGGCATTATCATAAACTTGTACAATACTGAAAATTTGCCTATAAATTTACCAAAACTCAGACATGGCTGCAAGTTGGCTCTTAAATTTACCAAAATATATTGCTGACAAATTTGAATTGAATTTAATGAATATTTTGCGAATATTGAGTATTTCTAGATTCCCAATTACTGTCAAGAAAGTTTCAAAGTAATTGTAAGAGACTCAGAATCAAGCGTAACTACCAAATGCTCGCTTATGGGTACCAAAAAAGCAGGGAATTCTCACTTAAATGCCTGATGTTCCATGATGATTCCTGTAAATTTTCAGGATTGTACTAATCCATAATATGCCTTTAGTTATCAAGAAATAACATTTTATAAAGTTTTAACTATAATTTTTCTTAACAAGAACCATTCGTTCTCCTTTAGATTGACAAAGAATTTTTCAAACAGAAGTAACAGAATACATCAGCTACGCCTAAGTTTCCGCAAAATAAGATATTTACACACAAAATCATGAATAATTATACAGTGATTTATCCAAAAATATTGCATTCAAATTTTATTACGAAAGTCAAAAGAAAATAAATAAAATTGCAAAGATTTTTCTTAAATCTTTAATTTTTTCAGTAAAGAACTGGCAAAAAGAAAAAAAATATACAAAATTTACTGATTTTTAAATTCTTATGTTCCTTCTTTAATATATTTCTTCATCATTAATGAAGTAATTAACACAATATATTTTAATTAACACAAAACAATCAAACAACAAGCTAATTAAAGGCATAGTTTGATTCTAAATTTTCATTCCTTAAGCCTGCTCAATTCCTACGTTTTAAAATTCAATAAAGCTTGCTTAGTTTTCATAATTTGTGAACTTTTCAATTTTGTGTAGAAGTTAAATGTTAGATTGTTCTCATAAAAGCACTGGCAGAGGTCTAAAAATCAAAATTAATATTCAATTAAGTGATATCTTTCAATTATGTTGACATCAAATTGAGAAAGCTAGTTTTGAAGAAATAGAATTAAACCCAACCTTTTCTTTAAGACTAATTATTCTTAGTACCTAATAATGAACAACTTGGTATTTTCCTGTTGAATTTTAAATCAAGTTTTTGTATAGAAGCCTAGTATTAATAACCTGATGCCTCTCTGTAAATGGGATTATCAACTCATTTCTGATGCCATTTTCTTGAAAAACTTGATTTAAAATGGTAGAAAAAATAAGCAATCGTTCCTAAATGCATTATAATGATTACTAAATATTCAACTTATTAAGGCACACACACAAAATTCAGAAAAACAAAAATTTAATAAATCAAAAAACAAAACAATGCTAGCAGCATAGTTCATTTTGATCAAAATGTAATGGGTGTGTCTAATCACTCAACTTTGACCAAAGTGAAAAATGTGCTGGTAAAATGATTAAATGAAAGAATTAATAGTAGAATGAAAGAGAGAATGATCTGACCCGCTTTGTAATACAATTTGAGATCATATCTCCAAATTTACAACAATTTTCTTACAAATTTTAATATTGTACTTCTCAGTTACTTTGACCACAATTGGGCAATTGTTACTGTAGACTTTCAGTTGGGTTATTTTTTGTTAATGGTTAATTTATTAATTTGACGTGTATAACCCAATTTTTTGATTCAGTGAGTAAATGTGTGCAATTTCGGTAACCATAAATGGTTATTTACTGGTAACCGAAAGCCATATTGGTTACTTAAGAAAATATTGGTTACCCAAAATAGATCTGCATTAACCACATTCCTGATAGTAACCTGCCGTGCATCTCTTCAAAACTTAACCAAGAAGCAGCAATATTAAAATATATAAAGAAAAATAAACAAAATAAAATGCACTTTCACAAATTTACTTCAAAAAAAAAAAAAATTTGAAATCTGATTCATTTTAATGTAATAAATAATTATAAAAAAAAATTAAATGAAAAATTATGCTTAATACCTGAAGAAACGAAAAAAAACTGTTCTGCAAAATTGTGAAAAGTACACCTTATTTTGTTAGGCAACCAGAAAAATTCATATATTTAGGACCGTCCGATTATATTTTTTGGATCATTTGCTGTTAAAAGTACTAATCTAGAGGCTGAAAAGTGTAATTTTGTTCAAAATACTCAAATCAAATTAAAAGGGAAAAAAATGAATGTCCTCTTCCCATCACAAAATGGGAGCAAAACATCAGGTTGCAAATATTAAAAAAATTCCAGGTAAAGTCCAAATCCAAAATGTATGAATTTGAATGGCAGCTGAGGTAAATGGATGAATGTTAACCCTATATATATATATATATAACACATTGAAACTATACAAACTATTTATTTTATATATAGGAACTATTATTATTTATTAATTACTATCTATGTTCATTGCATTTTTATAAGGCAGGCATGTATTGAATTTTCTCTGTTCCACTCTGCGATTTAGAGAGTCTACAAGGCTATGGTTTATTAAGTCCACATAGCTAATAATGTATATTTAAAGTTTGGTTTTGTCAATTTCTCAATAACTCATAATCTTTAGATTTGAGTTTTGGTTTTATTCCTAAAAAATTGCAATCAAGTGGGTCTAGCTTGATTTGATTGATTGGTTTTGATTGACAGAGGTCCATTGATTTAAGATAAAAAACACATACAGCCTGCCTTTTCTTGAAGAGCATACAAGGGGGGTAACTTTTGCAGCATCAACTGGCATAGAAATAATCATGACATGTGAAAAAATTCCCATGGTTATTTTACACCTTAATTGAGTGATCACAAATTTGTCAGCCATGTTGAATGCAACCTTAGTCGCTCCCAATGCTTGCTCTCCATTCTACTGTGGTTTTTGCACTAAACATAAATGCACGCAGTGTAGAATTATACATAAATATACGTCAGAGGCCCTCTTGTGATTATCCAATTGTAGTTTTAAATTCTCTTGAGCAGAACTGGAATGCTAATACAGCGGCAACCTTTGACACGCTGAATTAGGTTTCAAATAGTTTGTGCTCTTCACATATAAGAGTTTCCCTGAATATCCTTCTCAAAATTCTCCTGTAGGTTTTCTTTCTTATTATGAGCAAGGTAGAATGGTTTATATAATGGTAGTGCAGTTTAAAAGCAAAGCTTAACAAGGCATAATTTCTAGGATTCAGTGAACGCTAGTGTTAACCCTTTACCAACACTATACAGTGTTAACATACTCATAATATATTAAAGTTTCCTAATAGTGTAACACTAAATATGAATAACACTAACAATCTCCCATTCAACACTAGAATTGACCCATTTAACAATAAAAATTAACATTAGCATTGACCCAGTTAATTAGGAACAACACTGGAATTGACCCAGTTAACTCTAGTGTTGACCCAGATAACACTAACATTGACCCAGTTAATAAGGAACAACACTGGAATTGACCCAGTTAACAATAAGAAATAACACTAGCATTGACCTGATTAATGCCAAGCATGACCTGAATGATATAACATGAAAGAGTAACACTAGCATTGACCCGATTAACACTAGAAATGACCTGATTAACACTAAGAACAACACTAGTATTGACCTGATTAACATGTAAGAGTAACACTGGCAATGACCCGATTAAAATCCATCATAGATATAAATTATGTACAAAGGAAAACACAACAATACAGTTCAACAAGTACCCGATTATTTTAAATGTTCTGCCAAGTGCAGAGAAAAGTACATTCTATCATAGCAATCTTCCCCACAAGATGGGCACATGAAAGGGTGTGCCACGTCTCTGGCGTGTAACTTCTGATGAATCCTATACATTGCATACTCAGCAAAAAAACTGTAACAGTGGCTACAACGAAACATCTTGCCGGAGGTCAAAAGACTGGATAATGTTTCGTTCATCAGGGTCTCCGTTCCTGAGGATAGCGATGGACTCGTAGCAACTGAGCCACTACTTTCAAAACTTGAGGGACTCAGCATGCGTAGATCATACGAGGAATCCAATATTCCCTTAGCATCAGCACCACAGCAGGTTTTAACCTGGATTCCCATGTTACGGCATCCTGGTTTTGCTTCCGATGGACTTTCTGGAGTTACGTCATCTGTTTCCATGGTAGATTTGGGACCCATGTCATCCATTGTGTTGTCAAGGAGTTTAATTTTCGAGGAGAAGTGATGTGGAGCTGGACTGACGCTTAGATTGAGGGCGTCAGATTGCACTAGAGCTGAAGTAGAGGGGTTGTAGCTGGTGGCATACTGCAGTAAAGAGGTAGATGAATACGGCGGATACAAGCCGTGAGGTAGCGAAGTCAGTGAGCTGTAGCCAGCATACAGAGCATTAGCAGCACTCGCACTTAAAGATGCTAGATCATAGTTGTGAGAACTGTCAGGCAGTACCAATGATGATTCGGGACCTGGTCTAGTACTGCTTACATCTCCTGAATTCTCATCTTGTTTGGATCTGGCTGAGGGAGAGACATCTCTTGGTGCTCCCATCTTGCCTTGCTTCTGGGTGAAGAAGTCCCAAACGCTGTCAGTTACTATGCCGTGTCGTCTAGCATGTCTTCTGAGGGTGGAGCCACGTGTGAACTTTGCGCCACAGATGTGGCATTGATATGGTTTGATTCCAGCATGAAGCTTCATGTGGCTCTTCATGTTGTTCTTGTATCCAAAACGCTTCTTACACAATGGACACTCAAATGGCTTCTGATCCGCATGCATTCTTTCATGATATCGAAGAAAGGACTTGGGAATATCTTTTTCACACAGACGGCACCATTCTTTGTCTTTTGATTGGGTTGAAACTTCAACAGCTTCAGGTGTAGCAGCTGGTTCCCCGTTAAATTCCTCTTCGTTGTTGTCAGATGACATAGAGTTCTCATTGGAATCTTCTTCATCTGGTAGATCATCTTTCTCACCATTGATGTTGAGGTAGTTCAGTGAATCTTTTTCAGCTTTTGGGAGATCGTGACTCAGCAAATGGTCTTTCAAGCTTTGCAAATCAAAGGTCGTCTTCCCGCAGTATCTGCACAAACAAGCTCCATCCACATGCTTTCTTCTCATGTGCACTCTCACACTATATTTCCGAGTGAAGGTTAATCCACAAATGGCGCACACGTATGGCTTCTCGCCCATATGAATGCGCTCGTGAGAGATCCTTATCGAGACTTTAGAAAATCTTTCTCCACAAAATCGACAAGCGTAGGGTTTGTGACTGGTATGTAATTGTTCATGAGCCTCCAGCTCTTGCACGTTACTAAAAACTTTGCCGCACAAACCACACTGTTTATCAGTCCTATTTTTATTTGAGGTTATCTCCCCTAGTTCATTGTCTTCATTTGAACCCTGAGTAATCCCTGAGAACTCATTTCCACCATTTCCTAGTCCGCTTCTGCTCCTCTCCGCAGAATCTCTACATGGAAATAGATTTTGTCCAGTGTCCACCAAGATGGAGTCGCGCCGCTCTCCATCTTCCTCGTCTTTTTCAGCGCCCATTAGCGCTGTCCCTGAGTGACTGTAAGGTCGTCCTTGTAAATGGGACGCCTCATCATACTTAAATACAGAATTTGAGGTATCTGTTTTGTGGTCCAATGATCGATCCGAATTTCTGAACTTGTCCCTATCTTGATCCTCGCCAACGGGTGAAGAAGAGTTCCTTCCCCTAGACACCATGGATTCCGGTGAATTGTTGGTCGGTGTTGGTGTAAACATCTGACGATTTTCAGAATCTGGCGTCATCCTGGTTGATGGAGGATCCAGACTGGCATCCCGAGATGTTCGACCGTTCTGTGGTTCCTTTCGTTCCTGAGGTTCTATTTTAATGCTATTTAGAGCATTTCGGTTTTGGTCCAGACTATTTGTTGAGGTAGCATGGTATAGCGAGGCAGGAAATCCACCATAAAAAGGGCTGTGAGAATTGACTGCGGCTATGGGAAAAGAGGTATTTGTTGAGAATGGTTTAGGTTCTGGTTTAGTTCGCTGTTGATTGTCTGTATTGTTGGACATCAAACTTCCTGCAGCCCGCAGTAGAGGACAGCGTTTCTCATGGTAACGCCGGGTGGTAGATCTGGTGAAAACTTTACCACAATAACTACACATTCGGGATTTTCTCGGGAACCCGTTGGACACATAATTATAAAGCTCACTGTTGTAATTATATGATGGCATGGGAACACCACTTATCCCGTATGGAAATTCTTGAATACGGGAATAAGCCAACTCTGCAACTGTTTTTGGACTTTCCTGAATTCGTGAGTAAGCAAGCTCTGCCACAGTTTTCGGACTCTCCTGAATTCTTGAATATGGTGAGGGCAGAGCTGGGGAGGTAGTTTTCGGACCATCTGAGGCTTCGTAGCTATAGTCACTGGTGGTGGATGCCTTTGTCTCTTCCCGAGGTGGTGATACTGTGGTATAGGTAGGCATCATGCGCTGAGAAGGGAGATAACTTTTACTTGGTCCACTCATAATGAAACTGGATGAAGAGTGATAATAAGAATACCTGAGTTATAAAATGTTGAAATGGCAAATACGCCAGATTTAGTGGGTGTAGCAACCTGAAAAGACACAAAAAACAGGAATTAATATTGACGTTTATATAATCCAAACATGATATACACCCACACAGCAGTTTATATTTATAGGCAGGCATAAAATGATAAAATAACACAAGACCCTAATACATTTAAGATACACGCCCACACAGCAGTTATAAAATGCATGCCTTCTGTTTGCAATATCAGCTTAAACTGGAAGCAGACATTAACTTTACCCTCATATATAACTGTCAATATTTCTTCCTAATTTCTTAAGTTTTCAATCATTTAAATAAAAAGACAAGCAATGACAAACGAACATTATTAAACTTTGACCTTATTCTCTTCCATTTATAGTGATAACTTTCCCCTGACTTACATTTCCTTAGATTTCCCTCATATCTTAGTCATTGAAATGAAATTATTTTCTACAGTAGTTAAGCATTGAGAAACAAACCTAAATTTTGGCCTTACAATAAACCGCATCTAGGCCTACTAAATCACTCTATTTCTTTTCATCATGGGGCATCATTTGCTCAAATTCACCTTAAAGTAAGCATATTTCTGATGCCATGGCATGTGCTTTTAAGATGCTAATGTTCACTACCCTAACTCTACATTAGTTACGATTATAGCCTATTTAGTAAATTTAATTGTATGAAGAAATGTTTTATAAAAACAAAACAACAAAATAGAATTTATTTTCAATTCCAATTTGTAGAATTTAAGTAAGTCTTTGGCGACCAATTTGGTTAGTCATTTTTAAAAGCAACTGAATTTATTTTCATTTTGTTTACTACGAAAGAAAAAATCTAGTTTACAACAAGATAAACTATTTAATAGCCTGATACTTATATACTCTCTAAACAAAAACAATTTGATTTAATGACCTCCTAAAGAGGAGAGCACAAAAATATCATTTGGCACAATTTCTGACTTTACTCCTGACAATCGCAGAATTTTTATTACATCTTTCTGGCATTCTTGGCCTAATTATTGATGAAACAGACACACTATTTCTTCCCTTACAGTTGATAATGGACTCTTCCGTGACCTATTTAACTTGCATTCCATTAGATTGCACTGATAACTGTCGAATATAACTGACCTCTATTTTAAGCTATTTGGCCAAATTTTATTCAAAAATAATAGAAAATTCACTACAATTTGCTAGAAATGAAGTAATTGAAGCATTGATAGTTTGAAATTTGTATTTTTCTTTTGATTTTTGACATCTTCAATGCATTTCAGTGGTAAAAATTATGAATATCGCTTGTGAATATAACTGACCTCTATTACAAACTATTTGGCCAAATTTTCATCAAAAATAATCGAAAATTCACTATACTTTACTTGAAATGAAATAGCCAAAGTGTTGGTTATGTAAAATTTGGAATCTTCTTTGTTTTTTAACATCTTCAATGCATTTCAGTGGTAAAAATTATAATAACTGACCTCTAATACAAAATATTTGGCCAAATTTTATTAAAACTTTTGGAAAACCAACAATTTATCATTAAAACAATTGCAATGTGTTGCTATGCATCCCACAGAAATAAGAAAGACTTTGGCAAATTGTTCATTAAAATCATTGTTCCCCTGTATTAACTAGGCAAATTCGTTTTTGACTTGGGACAATCGCTTTAAACTTAGGCAAAGTTGATTGTAAATGATCCGTTGGGAGAAACACAATGTTTGTAGGGTCAGTCACTTTAAATAAAACATTGGTTATAAATGGTCTTCTGGGACAACAACTTTAAACACAATATTGGTTGTAAATGGCCTGTACAGAACAACTTATATAGTAGATAACTGTTGGTTTACAATTGATAAATGACTTTATCTCTCCAGTATGACAGGGGTTCACCTTAAACGACTTTTACACTTAGCACTCGACCTAATTTCACTATCAATCTAGTACAGATGCAAGACTGTACTAGCAGACGGTCAAAGGTGGTGTACACTAATACCAGGCCCGGCAGCATCAAACTTTCTGATCTTTAAGATGCACCTTATTTCCTAGTAAGAGATCAAATTGTACAGATCCAAGAATGTACAAGCAGACGGTCAAAGGTGGTGAAAACCAAAACCAGAAAAACTCTCAAAAGCTTCAAGTGTAGCATCTGAATTCTCAAAAATTTTAAGATGGACTAACTAACAAGACCTTATTGTGTCAACACCCTAAAATAACTTCAGTTCGATTGTTTGGATATTAAAAAATCATCCCTTACTTTGCTCAAACACCTTTGTTCCTCATATTGGAAAGTTAACCTCCGAAATCCGAAACTTGTAAAAGCAGCTCGAGATGAGATTTTTTCCAATAAAGGTGGAAGAACTAACAATCCATAAGGAAGATGAGCAATGACAAGAAAATATGGCTGTCCTTTGGGACCACATACATCAGAATCTTCCAAGCAATGCGACAAATCAGGCGTTAAAAAAGACAGCAGTCGAGCAATTAGATTCCAATAAATTTTATTTCACACGTCTGGATAATTGAGACACATTTCTCACTTTGGTTAGTGCTCAAGAGACACTTTTTTGAATCTGATTGAATTACAGAATTTTTTTTAGCGCATCTGTTCTTGTGAAGAGACAGTTAATCGTTCCGAAGGTGAAACGATGATTTCTCGAGCCAATAAAATATGTGTTATTCTTTTTTTTTGCGTTGAAACTTGTTTTATGGTCACTCATAACCTGATGTTTCTTTTTTATAGGTGTGTATGTAGCAAGAGCTTTGATTTCGATGTAATTACGAGCCAAAATGATGCAGTACTAGAATGGTGATTTTGGACCAACATCCATTTTTAATAGGTAAGATTGAATAATGATGGATGGTACTCCACGAGTGGTGTTTCTATTAATCATTAGGGAGAGGGGACTAGTAGGAGCCACTGACAGAATTGTCAAGTGGGCAAACAGCACCTTACCCTTAGGGAGGAGGGGGAAAGGACACCACTGTACCGTATTACTGGTCTATGCGGTAAATTGATCCAGGGTAAAGAGGTTGACAACTATTTATGCTTCACTAACTAAAGATACTATTAATAGTAACGGTACCAATCAATAAGGTACCTCAAGGATATTAAATACACATTCTTCAACCTAATTCCACTTATTGCTTTTACTATTGATTACACATTAAAGCATTAGAATGGAGTTTTACACCCAACAAGATTAGACTATTGAAGATATTATCCATTTTTTTTTGGTTCAATGCCCCCTCTTGAAAAATTCTGACCAATCCCACCATATACCTCCATCAACCATGTTTCTTGTGAGTTGGAACACATGTCTCTCAAACACCTGATGTCACTGTTCAACCACTGAACTCCTCATTTAAAGCTTCTTTGATAATTTGTTACCTATAAGTTTGTGGGAAAAAAAATACCAGAATTTCCAAAAGGGAATTCAAGATGGCTGCCAGGATAAATTTGACAATGAGAAATTAAAAAGATGTCTCGAGTCATAGTAACTTATGATTAAATATGCGACATATTGCCGTTCGTACAGACGACAACCATTATTCATCCATTACCAGAAAAAAATGACAGTCTCCAGCCAATCTGCTACCTATCAACTTGAATTATCATTGCCTGGACTTTCACATCATTAGGGCATTCACGGAGGACTATAAGTGGACTTCTTATTACAAAGAATGTTAACTTCATTATTGAAAAGAATGTTAACTTCATTATTGAAAAGAATGTTAACTTCATTATTGAAAAGAATGTTAACTTCATTATTGAA